TAAGATGGGGGTGCTTATCTGAAGCTAAGGCCCTATTTCAATTTCTGTAAAATGCCTCTTACATTGGTGATACACTAAAGACTAATTATTATTTTTACTGTCATATTAGCAGTTTGAAAAATTTTTTAAATAATTCATCAAGACTTAGGCTAGTAGCTTACCATTATCTTATTAGCAGTCTCTGAAAATATTCATCAAGAGTTAGGTCACCTTCACATGTGTCAACCGTTCTGCCGTTTTGCCATGTCCTTGTTAAATGGGTCATTGATAAAGATCAGTGTCTGGTTATTTTTTCTGATGAATAAACAATAAACTAGCAAAACAACAAAAAAGTATCGGATGCCCTATTTACCAGCGCCGTGTGTGAAAAATAAGTATTGGGTACTGGCACCCCGTCATCTGAAGACAGACTGAGGAAGGTTGTTTGTTCATCAGTCCAAGCAACAAATGATTTTTGTAGCAATCGCACAAGGGAAATTTTATGAACCAACAGCTCTCTACAGTAACCTGAAACTTTTTTTTTTATGTGCATTCCGCTTGCCATAAATAAGGCAAGTAACCTGGAGCGGGAGGTGATTGCAAGAGTAGCTAGCGTGTTGCCTGCACCTCTCCCTGCTTGACTCCGCCCTTACATGTGCTTTGTGGTAATGGTGGCTGGTGTAGTTTTTGGTGGTAATGGCTCGTGTTGTGAAGATGTAGTTTTTGTGGTAGCTGTGGTTGGTGGCGGTGGTAGAAGTAATGGGTGGTGGATGTAGTAATGATTGGAGGTGATAACAAAAGGTAGTAGTAATGATGATTGTGGTGGTAATAACTTAGATACATGCAGTAGATGTAATGCTATATCGCGTGGTTATTGATGCAGGTGGTGAGTGCACCGCGTGGTACTGGTGGCAGAAATGGAGTTGAGTGCAAACTGTACAGTAGTAATGGTGGTGAGTGCACTTCGTCGTGGTGGTGATGGTTCATGACTGCAGATGATGTTTCATCTACTATCTGCCTTCGTGGCAGCCTAAATTCATGCGTTGATAGTCATCTACTAGAAAGCAGCGGTGGGTTATAAAGTAAGTGAATGCACCTTGTACTTTCAATTCCATATGTATTATTCACACGAGTTTTTCTAACCAAAACAACTGACGTAAATAAATATTGGAGCACACGTAAGAGGAGGCTGAAACACCACAAAATTAGTCATTACCCTACCTGGATAACAGTTCTTAATTACATGGAGGTTATTGTATTATTACTTGCCTACTTGTGTTATCATTACTTTAATCTATTTTCACGTGAGTTGAACTAATATGACCTGACCTCATGAACCTCTCAGTGATCCAAACCATGACCTTTACACCCAGAACAGTTAAATTGTTCCAACTGGTAATTGTTCATACGTCTTATTATAATGAAAAAAGTAAATATAAAGCTCGTTTCTAAATACTATGTAATTATTTATGAGTAACAGGTAAAGATTCGAACAAAAATATTAATTAGCAAGAATATTTCCATAACATTTGAAAAATCTATTGACGCCGTATTTTGTAGACTATGCAGAATTCTTCTTTCCATTTATCATAAGGCTTGGCGGCGTCATGGTGGGGTCACTACAGGTCACCCATCGAGCTTTGTTATGCAAATGACAAGTCTTCAGAAGACCCTTGGAGGTTAAGTATCGGCCACTGAGGTCAGGTGAGGTACACCAGAGCAAATGAACGCCTCACAGTGTTTTAGTTTGTATACTATAGTCACTTTCCTTAGTTTAATCTAGCCTAGTCGCGTGACCCTAGCTAGCGTAACTGTTACAGTGAGTGATGAGTGTGGCCCTGGGTGAGTGTGGACAGCAAAACGACAAAGAACCTGCCGGGAAAGGCGCCAACACTTACCCTAAAGTGTACAGCAAATATTGTTCCGCTGGTGAAATACTCACACAAACTCAGTTCTTTATTCAACGCTTAATTTTCTTGCTGGAGAGAATATTCTTCAGGAAGCTTTATTGCATTAATTCTTCAAAAAACTTAAGGGCATTCACTCTAAACGATGAACTTAAGTGTCATATTGTAGCATCACGTTTTTATTAAATTAAAATGTATGTGTGTACCATTCCTTATTGTTATCCAATGCACATGGAATTCCAAGGGAAGAGTACTGTTATTTAACTGTGCATGTACGCTGCATATGTATGTGTTTACTGTGTACACACGTGTCAGCGTCAATCAACTTTCACCGGTAACACTAACTAAAACTTTATATTTATGGGAAAGCGCAAAGTCCGTAAAGGGCATTCAGCGCTTGAACAATAAGTAATAAGATTAGATTCTTTGAAAAGGTAGCTCCAGCTCCTTACATCAAGAGCCCTTATCAGTCTTAAGGCATTCGCATTAATAGACCATTAATCCTCACATTAGCAAACAAACTAAAGACTAGTATTATACGGTAAAATTGCTGCAAATAAAAGAAGGACAAGGATTAACGATGTATGATATTGCTATATTTAGTTTAACAAGAGCAATTAAGGACTGTTTTAACTTATTATGATTATGCAGAAAAATGGAGAGTTTGGAGATTAGGAGACGTAAAGTCACCAAAAGTATTTATTATTCAGAGGGCTGAAGAGGGGTTGTTAAGGTTGTTTGGACATTGAGAGAGGACGAAGAAAAATTGGATGACTAGTAGGGCGTATAAATAAAAGAGGGAAGAAAGGAAGATGTTTTAGGAAGGTTGGAGGGAGGGAGGTAAAGGTTTTGAGTTCTAGTGGCTTCAGCATGCAGCAGATATATGAGTGAATGGAGGCAAGTGGCTTTTATGATTAGAGGTGCTGTTGGAGTGTGAGCATGGTAATATAAATGAAGGGATTAGGGAAACTAACCGGTTTCTCTGAATCCCTTCATAAATGTTACCTTGCTTACATTCCAACAGCACGTCAAATCATGAAAACCACTTGCCTCCACTCACTCCTCAAATGGGAAGTAGAGTGCCTGTACTCTGAAGAATGGGTGGTAGTGGGAGGCACAGTGTCTGCACTCTGAAGGAGGGATGGGGATGTTGCAGTTTGGAGAGTCATCTGAACTGTGATATCGGCGCCCATCTGACAAGACACTGATTGAATGAGTGACAGTGAAAGTGTTTTCTTATTTGTTGGGTCATCCTAACTCGGAGGGAAATGGCCGGCGTTAAAAAATATAGACTTGAGTATCCTATTGCTTTAAAACTTACATTTTTGCAACTGTTATTGGGTAGCTACAGCCAGACTAAAATCTTGTACCGTTGAATTAACCCTGGTCGCCTCACATGTCTACCCACTCCACCCTACACTTGTTGCTCCAGCTGTGATGTACAACCTACAATACCCACAATATTTATAGCGGTATCAAGATAAATGTCTATATATTAAATTCATCTTAAATTTAATGTGATGACTATGCGAAAGATACTTAGCCGTATTAGGATTTGTTGATAAGTCATATTTCGTCTACCCGTAAAGGACATTTCCAATCAATGTTACATTCTACTTAATTAGAGTCCGCAAAGAAAACCAGCTTTTGAATGACTACCATTTACAAATTTACACTGATGTTAGTGTAGATGTTCGGGCTAAGATTTGCACTGTGCAGACCAGACAATTTCAGCTGCAATGTTGACCTCACCTCAGTGTTAGCAGACTACTTGCCACTCTTTAGTAATTTCACAATATTTAAAGGCCACAGATTGACGTAAATAGGCGCTTTTTTGTAGCTCGTTGAGTATCGTTTAAAAGTTTATGTTTATACTCGTTATTATATATGGATGAAGAGTTACCTAAGTGGCAGCGTGTAAACTAAACATCACCAGCCAAAGATAACCCCAAAAATGGGAATTAAAGTAAATTAACAGCGAATATACCCCGAGATATCCACACCAATCGATGTATATAAGTTTATTTTATATACCTCTTGGTGTATATGACATGTCACCTTTAGCCTAGGAGATTACTATGTACTTGACACCTGATTTTTTTTTTTAAATATGACAAGATTTTATATTTCAGTTTGATTACAGAATGTTCTAATTTTAGTGGCTTATTTATTATTATTTTTACTCAGATGAAATTCACTTCAAAGGTGTCAACCTCCTGTTAGGAAATAATGTAATGGGCTGTGGTTTGTTAAAATATAAAATTCTGATTTGATTCAATCATCTAAATAAAAAAAAATTCTAACGAGTTTTCCTGTGGTTATGAGAACATGAGAACAGCTGAGCATTCATATATAAATTAAGCCCACAACAATGTGCCGTTTTGATAAATCTGATCAATTTTGTCATGAGATAATTGCTAAATGTTTAAAATATATAACCTAAAATGTCTTCACACCATTTATATTTTGACTGTAAGTGACAAGTGACTGCGATAAAAATTATAAGGTGTACGGAAAATAGACTTGTAGCGAGTGTTGGAGGTGATGACGGCGTGAGCAGCCCTAATATGAGAGCCGGCTGCCACAACCCCATAGTTTAGGCTGAGGCGCAAGCACGAGCTCTCTCTTATCCACTACACATCCCAATTTCCCCAAGAGATACTACTCGATAATTATAGAAGGAAGAGCTACACTTGTTTGAACTGCAAAGTAGCGCCGTGCCTCTGCGTGTGACGCATGACTGATAAAATAAAAGTTATGTTGCACCTGATACCAAGCTTGTGTTGGGCCTACACTAACTACCAGCACGGGAAGCTAGAACAGCCCGTGCCGAGCCTACAACCTGCACCAGCTAGTATGATAAACGGTTTTCTTCATTATTGTACTCGTTTGGAAGCGTTTTATCTTTATCTTTTAACTAAACCCATAGGGTTATCACCAAGAGAATGGGAGAAAATCAGATTTGATCAAAGGAAAGGGCGAGTAACTAATTCCATGAGCCAAAAGCCCTTCATTAGCATCAAGGCACAACCTTGAAGGGTGCTTTTTTTCAGATGATCAGACGTTGCTGCCAAAGTTAGTAAATAAAACATACAGGATGAAAAATCTGATAAAACCATTTTTTCTAAATTTATTACTACAAAGCACAAAGAAGTATATACAGGCTGCTTGTCACTGTACAGCGTATTCTCTACCATCTTTATCGAGGGTTAGTCAAATTCTGTATCAAGGGTCAGTCTAATGTTTGTTGATGTGTAATGAACACTTGTCAACGTTGATACACTTGCAATTAAAACACATAAAAGAGACCGGTTCAATACAGCAATTACACTTTCTGCAGCTGAGGTCCTCTTCAACAGATACAAAAAGTGGTATAATGTTTGTCAGGCAATAGGACAAGTGTTACCTGACGCGGGTCTTAGTCATGAGATGACCCGCAGCTGGAGCTTTTGGTCATCTGGCCGAGGCCTTCCACTGTACAAGACGTGAGCATGTTTATATAGGGTGAGAGGGATAACACCTCAAGTGCAGGACGTAATTAGGCGTCAGACCAGGGAAGCATTGATTTGATAACAATTGTAGATGAGTAAACGAACTGCTGAAACAAAGAACTGGGCTGGACAGGTGCACGAGTGGTTGGGCGTTGACCTTCTCATCCAATATAAACATATTCTTTATTCACCTCTTGTATCTCCTGAAGAGGACCTAAGTTGGAGGTCGAAAAATACTGCCAAGTTTTTTGTTTTCAAAATAGTTTTCTACAAACACACACACACACGACCAGCGAAGAGGCGGGGCCAGGAGCTATAACTCAGCCCCTGCAACCGCATACAGGTGAGTAAGTACATACACTACATACATTTTTTTTTTCAACACGACGATTGTCTCTCACCTAGGCAGTGTGACCCCCAAAAAGAAACACTTTCACCATCATTCACACAATATCAATGTCTTTGCAGAGGAGCCCAGATACGACAGTTTAGATGTCACTCCAAACAGCCAATATCAGAAAACCCCTCCTTTAAAGTGCAGGCATTGTACTTCCCACCTCCAGAACTTAAGTCCAGCTAACCGGTTTCCCTGAATCCCTTCACAAAATATTACCCTGCTAACACCCCAACAGCTCGTCAGGTCAGATCTGGTCCCAAAAACTATTCGTCTCCATTTACTCCTATCTAACACGCTCACACACGCTTGCTGTATGTCCAAGCCCCCTGCACACAAAACCCCTTTACCCCTAACCTCCATCCTTTCCTAGGACGACCCCTACCCCTCTACTACAGAATAGGAGAGAGAGAGAGATAGAAATATACATATCCTTTAACTGAAATAAAAATATAATCATTCATTATTCGTAATATATAGCGAACGAGATTACCGTCATCGAACAAAGATAATATGTACATTCTGCAATTAAAACTAAACACTAGCAGCAAAATATATAATAATGTTTGTTATCCTTTTTCAATATATTAATTGATATCAGAAGATGAGCATCTCTTTTCATACAAAACGATTCGAAAAAAAAAACTCAATAATAAATTCGTGTTGATTTCCGCTATTAATATCTTCCTGCTTATGGCCTTTAGTTCTGATGAAACACTTTCAACAATGAAGCTTGTAACTGCGAGTGGAGGTTAAGAAGGCAGGTTATATTGAAGATGTATTCGTTAAGTGTTGATGCTGGGTCTAAGGTGAGAAATGCAAACCGCTCAGCCTGATATGTCTGCCCATATGTGAATTCTGCGCTTATTTTCAATGTGGAGACTAGGCTGTGTTCGGCCAGTGCCGTAGCGGACAGAATGGGTGCCGGCTGTGATCCTTGATCCTGGAATCGAGAGTCAATCAGGTGTACTTTAATTTTAGCTGGGTTACATACCCATGTTAATACCTTCATTCGCCGATCCTTCATAAGAACCTTTCGAAGATAAACATCAAGACCAATGAGTTTATCCTGGGAATGGTGGAGGTGGGTGACTTGCATCACATAATCTGTACCGCGAAGATGTACCTCAGAAAATGGAGTCAAGCAGTGCTTTTTATCTTTCTCATTCTTGCTAAAATCAAATTTGTTTATATAGATATGACGAGCAATACCAACAACTCTGGATGATGTTTGGGAGAAAGTGTCAAACTCTGGAATTCTGACAGTAAGTGGATATTCTCTGGCAGCTGATGCCAAATCATCATAGTTCATCACATGGCAGATCAGAGGATCAAGCACCACCAATCGGTGGGGAGACACTGGATATAGGATTTCTCGTGTTATGTCGAGTAACTGGGAGTACTCGTGGAAACCTAACGCCACAAATTTACAAATTGCTTGAGGTGGAATTCCACGACGGCGTAAGCCAGCCAGAGTAACCAAACGAGGGTCATCAAAATCAGTAAAGCCCCTTCCTAAAAGGCCAACTAAGTATCTCTTCGACATAATGGTAAATGGTACTACCAGTTTTTTTTGCTCTCTCTGAGAAACCTTCGGCAAATCAAGCGTTTTCTGCACCCACTCATACAGAGCGCGATGACTTACAAACTCAGTGGTGCACAGTGATACTGAGATAGCTTCCAGAGAATCTACAATAGGATGTGAAAAGTCGTAAGTTGGGTACACCAACCAATGCATTTTTGTCCTGTAGTGTGGTTGAGAGATGATGCGGTAAGCAACAGGGTCTTTAATTCCTGAACGTGTCTTCACCTTCATCTTCAGTACTGCCTGCCCTTCCACATAGCTACCTCCAAACATTCTGTAAAATTCTCTAATATTTTCCTCTACAGGTCGTGTTCTCCAAGGCGATTCCACAGAAACTTTCTTGTCGAAGGGTATATTGACATATTCAAGATGGCAAACATAAGCCTTACCCTTGTAGATCATTGTCAGTGCAAAATTAAATAAGATTTCAAAATAATCTGATGTAAATGTAATATTGGAAGGCTTATATCCTAGCCAGTTAATCATTTCAATAGCATTCATGCAATGATGTTTACGGGCTGTGATTGGATTAGTGTCATCAAATCTCAGTATACATTCTCCTTTGTAGGTTTCCGCTACACTGAAGTTTACATGGAGAGCTTTAGCATGGCCGATATGAAGAGGGCCATTGGGTTCTGGAGGAAACCGTGTCCGGACTACCCCACACCTTTCCAGAGAGCCTACATACTCCTGCCTTCCCAGAAAATACTGCCCGTGCCGGAAGTATCCCTCAGTGGCCATGGTTGGTGAATCTTGGAGTCTGTCGTCGGAATCATTATCGTTGTCTGTATCTGACTCACTTTCTGTTGGAAAAACACAATGGCTAAATATTAAAAAAAAAAAAAATGCTTCGTTGACTCCGATTTATTTTAGGGACCAGTCCCTGGCCTCATTGTTTACCTCTAATTTTTAGACTGCCACCCACAAAATTGGCATGGGGTGCATAATAAAGCGTTTAATTTGTTTGTATTGAATTCCAAAATATAATTTCATGTATCCACTTTAATCGTTTATCTTTCGCTATGTATATACATAATTATAATATTACATTCTGAGTACAGCATTCCAATTTTTTTTAACCGGCCGGCCGTTTCCCACCGAGGCAGGGTGACCCAAAAAGAAACAAAAAAAAGAAAGAAAAACTTTCATCATCGTTCAACACTTTCACCATCATTCATATATAATCACTGTCTTTGCAGAGGCGCTCAGATACGACAGTTTAGATGTAACTCCAAACAGTCAATATCCTAAACCCATCCTTTAAAGTGCAGGCATTGTACTTCCCACCTCAGGGACTCAAGTCCGGCTAACCGGTTTCCCTGGAGGCTACCTGGAGGTTATTCCGGGGATCAACGCCCCCGCGGCCCGGTCCACGACCAGGCCTTCCGATGGACCAGAGCCTGATCAACCAGGCTGTTACTGCTGGCCGCACGCAGTCCAACGTACGAGCCACAGCCCGGCTGATCCGGCACTGACTTTAGGTATCTGTCCAGCTCTCTCTTGAAGGCAGCAAGGGGTTTATTGGCAATTCCCCTAATGTTTGATGGGAGGCTGTTGAACAGTCTTGGGCCCCGGACACTTATGGTGTTTTCCCTTAGTGTACCAATGGCTTCCCTACTTTTAATTGGGGGCATTTTGCATCGCCTGCCCAGTCTTTTACTTTCGTAGGGAGTGATTTCTGTGTGCAGATTTGGGACCATTCCTTCCAGGATTTTCCAAGTGTGGATTATGATATATCTCTCCCTCCTGCGTTCCAACGAGTACAAGTCAAGTGCTTCCAAGCGTTCCCAGTAGTTAAGGTGCTTGACAGAACTTATATGTGCAGTAAAGGATCTCTGTACACTCTACATCTGCGATTTCACCTGCTTTGAATGGAGATGTTAATGTACAGCAGTATTCCAGCCTAGAGAGAACAAGTGATTTGAAAAGGATCATCACTGGCTTGGCATCTCTCGTTTTGAACGTTCTCATTATCCATCCTATCATTTTCTTTGCACGTGCGATCGTGGCACTGTTGTGATCCTTGAAAGTGAGATCCTCAGACATTACTACTCCCAGGTCCCTTACATTATTTTTCCGCTCTATTGTATGACCAGAGTCTGTAGTATACTCTGTTCTAGTTATTATCTCCAGTTTTCCATAACGGAGTAGTTGGAATTTGTCCTCAGTGAACATCATATTGTTTACCGTTGCCCACTGGAAAACTTTGTTTATATCTTCTTGGAGGTTAACCGCATCCTCAGCAGATGACAGCCTCATGCAGATCCTAGTATCGTCCGCATAGGATGATACCGTGCTGTGATGCATATCTCTGTCTATGTCTGATATAAGGATGAGGAATAAGATGGGGGCGAGTACTGTGCCTTGTGGAACAGAGCTCTTCACTATGGCAGCCTCCGATTTAACTCTGTTGACCACTACTCTTTGTGTTCGATTTGTTAGGAAGTTGAAGATCCATCTCCCCACTTTCCCAGTTATTCCTTTAGCACGTATTTTATGGGCTATTACGCCATGATCGCATTTGTCAAATGCTTTTGCAAAGTCTGTGTATATTACATCTGCATTCTGATTTTCTTCCAGTGCATCCAAGGCCATATCATAGTGATCCAGTAGTTGTGAGAGGCAGGAGCGACCTGCCCTGAACCCATGTTGCCCTGGATTGTGCAGATTTTGGGAATCCAGGTGATTTGCGATCCTGCTTCTTAGCACTCTTTCAAAGATTTTTATGATGTGGGACGTCAGAGCTATTGGTCTATAGTTCTTAGCTAATGCTTTGCTGCCACCTTTATGGAGTGGGGCTATATCCGTTGTTTTAAGTGACTGTGGAATTTCACCCATGTCCAAGCTCCTCCTACATAGTGTACTTAGGGCACGCGAGAGGGGTTTCTTGCAGTTCTTAATGAAAACAGAGTTCCACGAGTCTGGGCCCAGGGCTGAGTGCATGGGCATGTTGTCAATGGCTTTTTCGAAATCTATCGGAGTTAGGGTAATGTCGGAAATCTGCCATACATTTATGGAGTTTTGAGGTTCATTCATGAAGAAATCATTTGGGTCGTCGATCCTCAGACTGATTAGTGGTTCACTAAACACAGAGTCGTAGTTGGATTTCAATATTTCACTCATTTCCTTGTTGTCATCTGTGTAAGTCCCATCCTGTCTGAGTAAGGGCCTGATACTAGATGTGGTATTTGCCTTGTTTTTGGCATATGAAAGGAAATATTTTGAATTTCTTTCAATTTCACTAATAGCTTTAAGCTCCTCCTGTCTCTCCTGGTTCCTGTAAGTCATTTAACTTAAGTTCGATAGTTTCCACTTCCCTGGTCAGCGCCTCCTTTGGTGTATCAGATATTCTAGCACTCCTGAGGAGCTCAGTGACTCTTCGTCGTCTTCTGTAGAGGGAGCGTCTTTCTCTCTCCAGTTTACTCCTGCTCTTCTTCTTTCTTAGGGGAATATGCCTAGAACATACTTCAGCTGCCAGGAAGTTGATCCTTTCAAGGCACTGGTTTGGATCCATGTCATTTAAGATATCTTCCCAACATGTTTCGTTTAGGACATGGTTTATCTGGTCCCAGTTGATGTTCTTGTTGTTGAAGTTGTATTTTGTGAAGACACCTTCACAGGCACATGCATTCTGCTGATCAGGACCCCTATGCATGTACGTCTGGACTTCGATTAGGTTGTGATCGGAATTAGTTGCTTTTGATATTCTTATGTCTCTTACCAGGTCCTCATTATTTGTGAAGATAAGGTCAAGTGTGTTTTCTAGTCTCGTTGGCTCCACTATCTGCTGGCTTAATCTGTGTTTTTTGCAGAGACTTAGTAGCTCATGTGTGTGCTACATAACATTCAAAAATTATCGGATATTTTATAACCTGTACCAACTATCGATAATATTTAACCTGACCCTGATAATGTGAAGACAAAATGTCCATTATATTAGTTTTCTATTACGTATATAACAAGAGATTTTATTAACTACCTTCATTTTGCTTGCGTTATGAAATAGTAAAGAATTTTAGCCTTTATACTGAATTTCATAAATTATAAATTACCTGCCATATTAAAAATTTTGTTTACAAAGATATTTTTTAATAAAATTTAAGGGTATATACAGATATGTGCATCTTCCGGTATATGTACCCAAAATATACTTTACTCCTTAACAGATTAAATTATCCTTGTTTGTTAATGACAGGGTGAATTTCGCCCTCGATAATCCTGGTAATTTATCATATAATTTTCAACTTATAATTTTAATTTTTTAATCTTTTTTATACTTGTATTTATGAGGTCACAAACTCTGAAAGCAATTAATCTCCAGGGTCACATGAACGCAATTTAGAATCTTGTACTACACAACCTCGTAATGAGATTACAATAAGGAGCCTTACCAAATAGCTCACATGTTCATGAGACCACATGATGAAATGCTCTCCATAACAAGGGGCTGTGCAGAAACTTAACTGCTAACTCAAATGTAATTTCTACGTTATTAAAAAGATACTATTATTATTATAACTGTCCTACACAACTAACCTGGTCATGACTGCTGCGAAAAACTGTATACTACACATAAGTCATGTAACTCACCTTGAGTGGCTACGCTTTCTTCATCGTAAGAACTTGAGGCGTCCAAGTCCATTCTAAATGGATTAGTTGTAGTTTCATCTGAGATATGACACTTTTCGCCAAACTGGAATGCGCCGAAGCCTTTAGAGAGATCTGAAGCCTTACCATGGGCGTGTAAAGCTGTAGCCTGTCTATCACTTAATTGTGCGGCCGGTTTCCTCAAGTCGACTGCCGCTGAATGGTTCTTACAAAAATCAGTCGCAAAATCTAACACCATTTGACATCCAAGCTCATCACGTCGAGTACGTGGAGACACCTGAACACCACAGCCTGTAGCACTAGTATGTTTACTACTATCTGTACAAGGTGACACTTGGCCAATAATGTTTCTATCACTCACATGTTTGTCACTGTAGGTATGTGGAGACCCTTGGCCACCAGAGCTTCTATCACTTACATTCTCATTGTCTGGACATGGAAGGACATCGCAAGTACCCTCGTCACTTTTATCAGAGCCACTGTCTGAGTGCGTACAAATACAGTCTTTATATTCATCGCTTGTATGTTCCTCACGGCACGTACCTGAAGGAAAAATTTGTCAGAAAAATAGAGCGATGCCCTAAATCATGTTCTAAAAAACGCGAACACCAAAAAAAAAAATTGCTTAATTTTGTTAAGTTTTTAATCTGTTTAACAAATAAAAATCATATCCAGCATCATTTTTATTTAATAAGTGGCACATTAAACTCGTTAAGATACATTAATTATCTAAATGACCATGATGCTATTGTTAAAATACTGGGTTAGGAAAAATGTTTAACCTCCTAGCGCATGTTCGTATTACCTGGAGTTTACCTGGAGAGAGTTTCGGGGGTCAACGCCCCCGCGGCCCGGTCTGTGACCAGGCCTCCTGGTGGATCAGCGCCTGATCAACCAGGCTGTTGCTGCTGGCTGCACGCAAACCAACGTACGAGCCACAGCCCGGCTGATCAGGAACTGACTTTAGGTGCTTGTCCAGTGCCAGCTTGAAGACTGCCAGGGGTCTGTTGGTAATCCCCCTTATGTGTGCTGGGAGGCAGTTGAACAGTCTCGGGCCCCTGACACTTATTGTATGGTCTCTTAACGTGCTAGTGACACCCCTGCTTTTCATTGGGGGGATGGTGCATCGTCTGCCAAGTCTTTTGCTTTCGTAGTGAGTGATTTTCGTGTGCAAGTTCGGTACTAGTCCCTCTAGGATTTTCCAGGTGTATATAATCATGTATCTCTCCCTCCTGCGTTCCAGGGAATACAGGTTTAGAAACCTCAAGCGCTCCCAGTAATTGAGGTGTTTTATCTCCGTTATGCGCGCCGTGAAAGTTCTCTGTACATTTTCTAGGTCGGCAATTTCACCTGCCTTGAAAGGTGCTGTTAGAGTGCAGCAATATTCCAGCCTAGATAGAACAAGTGACCTGAAGAGTGTCATCATGGGCTTGGCCTCCCTAGTTTTGAAGGTTCTCATTATCCATCCTGTCATTTTTCTAGCAGATGCGATTGATACAATGTTATGGTCCTTGAAGGTGAGATCCTCCGACATAATCACTCCCAGGTCTTTGGCGTTGGTGTTTCGCTCTATTTTGTGGCCAGAATTTGTTTTGTACTCTGATGAAGATTTAATTTCCTCATGTTTACCATATCTGAGTAATTGAAATTTCTCATCGTTGAACTTCATATTGTTTTCTGCAGCCCACTGAAAGATTTGGTTGATGTCCGCCTGGAGCCTTGCAGTGTCTGCAATGGAAGACACTGTCATGCAGATTCGGGTGTCATCTGCAAAGGAAGACACGGTGCTGTGGCTGACATCCTTGTCTATAGTCGGATATGAGGATGAGGAACAAGATGGGAGCTAGTACTGTGCCTTGTGGAACAGAGCTTTTCACCGTAGCTGCCTCGGACTTTACTCTGTTGACGACTACTCTCTGTGTTCTGTTAGTGAGGAAATTATAGATCCATCGACCGACTTTTCCTGTTATTCCTTTAGCGCGCATTTTGTGCGCTATTACGCCATGGTCACACTTGTCGAAGGCTTTTGCAAAGTCTGTATATATTACATCTGCATTCTTTTTGTCTTCTAGTGCATTTAGGACCTTGTCGTAGTGATCCAGTAGTTGAGACAGACAGGAGCGACCTGTTCTAAACCCATGTTGCCCTGGGTTGTGTAACTGATGGGTTTCTAGATGGGTGGTGATCTTGCTTCTTAGGACCCTTTCAAAGATTTTTATGATATGGGATGTTAGTGCTATTGGTCTGTAGTTCTTTGCTGTTGCTTTACTGCCCCCTTTGTGGAGTGGGGCTATGTCTGTTGTTTTTAGTAACTGAGGGACGACCCCCGTGTCCATGCTCCCTCTCCATAGGATGGAAAAGGCTCGTGATAGGGGCTTCTTGCAGTTCTTGATGAACACAGAGTTCGATGAGTCTGGCCCTGGGGCAGAGTGCATGGGCATGTCATTTATCGCCTGTTCGAAGTCATTTGGCGTCAGGATAACATCGGATAGGCTTGTGTTAATCAAATTTTGTGGCTCTCTCATAAAAAATTCATTTTGATCTTCGACTCTCAGTCTGGTTAGCGGCTTGCTAAAAACTGAGTCATATTGGGACTTGAGTAGCTCACTCATTTCCTTGTTGTCATCTGTGTAGGACCCATCTTGTTTAAGTAGGGGCCCAATACTGGACGTTGTTCTCGATTTTGATTTGGCATAGGAGAAGAAATACTTTGGGTTTCTTTCGATTTCATTTATGGCTTTTAGTTCTTCCCGCGATTCCTGACTCCTAAAGGATTCTTTTAGCTTAAGTTCGATGCTTGCTATTTCTCTGACCAGTGTCTCCCTGCGCATTTCAGATATATTGACCTCTTTTAGCCGCTCTGTTATTCTTTTCCGTCGCCTGTAAAGGGAGCGCCTGTCTCTTTTCTATTTTACATCTACTCCTCCTTTTTCTTAGAGGAATAAGCCTTGTGCATACATCGAGTGCCACCGAGTTAATCTGTTCTAGGCATAAGTTTGGGTCTGTGTTGCTTAGTATATCTTCCCAGCTTATATCGGTTAGGACTTGGTTTACTTGGTCCCACTTTATGTTTTTGTTATTGAAGTTGAATTTGGTGAATGCTCCCTCGTGACTAGTCTCATTATGTCGGTCTGGGGCTCCACGCATACATGTCTGAACCTCAATTATGTTGTGATCTGAGTATATTGTTTTTGATATGGTGACATTTCTTATCAGATCATCATTGTTAGTGAAGATGAGGTCTAGTGTATTCTCCAGTCTAGTAGGCTCTATTATTTGCTGGTTTAAATTGAATTTTGTGCAGAGATTTAAAAGCTCGTGTGAGTGTGAGTTTTCATCAGAGCTGCCTCCTGGTGTTATTACTGCAACAATATTATTTGCTATATTCCTCCATTTTAGGTGCCTTAAGTTGAAATCCCCCAGGAGCAAGATGTTGGGTGCAGGAGCTGGAAGATTTTCCAGACAGTGGTCAATTTTTAACAGCTGTTCCTGGAATTGCTGGGATGTTGCATCCGGAGGCTTGTAGACTACCACAATGACTAGGTTTTGGTTCTCGACCTTTACTGCTAAAACTTCCACTACGTCATTTGAGGCATTAAGCAGTTCTGTGCAAACAAGTGACTCTGCAATGTACAGGCCAACCCCCCCCCCTTTTGCCTGTTCACTCTGTCACATCTGTATAGGTTGTAACCTGGGATCCATATTTCGTTGTCCAAGTGATCCTTTATGTGGGTCTCAGTGAAAGCCGCGAACATTGCCTTTGCCTCTGCAAGCAGTCCACGGATGAAAGGTATTTTGTTGTTTGTTGCTGGCTTTAGACCCTGTATATTTGCAAAGAAGAATGTTATCGGACTGGTGGTATTGTTGGTACTGGGGGGGGATTTTTTTTCCGGCATTAGTATCTGTATCTGTTGGTTTGGAGTGGAGGCCATCGACTGTGGTTCCACTCCAGGAATGACTGGATTTGGTGTACGATTTCTGCCATTTCCTGCCAGTTTTTTTTCCTTCCTGGCACTAAAAAACCTCTCCCTCTTGAGTGGCTGTGGCTACCCAGGTTTTCCCATGGCCTGGATGTTTTGTATCTTTTTGTCCCCTTTAGATGGTATGCCTGGCAATTTAAGTTATAGCACAGTCTTTCCTGTACTGAAGAGGTACACATTTCAGGGTGAAAAAGCTTACAGGAAGGGAGTTTGCATTTTCCTGTTGTCATATGGGCATGACATTTTCTAGGGTGGTCATAGTTGCATGTCCCATCTGTTTTTCCAGATTTCCCATGCCAGCAGATACCAAGTGCATAGTATGTGCACAGGCTTGGTTTCCGTTTGCCTTGGGTTTCTGTGACTGTATTCCCTGTTGGTGCATGTTTCCCTGTCTTACTCCTATCCTCCCTAGCACCAACAATGGAGCTCCCACCAGTTGTTTTTGGTAATTTATCCTCACTATTGCTATTGGAGTCCTCTTGTTTGCTATTTCCTGCGGTATTTCTAGTTTGCAATATTGGTTTTATCTTATCTTTGACTACACTTGTTTCCCTATGGCTCCTGTCCTCTATGAGGTCATTTATATGTATTCCTTCCTGCGTATAATTCCCGACTACCTGGACAAAATCTCCAGCTTCACCATTACTGTCTCCCAGGACAGTATCTCCAGCTTCACCATTTCTGTCTCCCAGGACAGCACCTCCAGCTTCACCATTACTGTCTCCCAGGACAGCACTATCAGCCCCACATTTACTGACTACCAGGACATCACCTCCAGCCTTACAGTTTGTGACTACATGGCCAGTATCAAGGGCAGTACCATTCAGCCCAGACTTTTTATGTTCCCATCTGTTGTAGAAAGCTTCCAGGTTTTCTATGAAAGCAGCTTTGATGTTATCCTCTTTTAATACCCTTGTGATTTTAGTCCACAGATTTTCCTCATTTGGGCATACCCAAAAACACTTCTGTTTTAATACTGCTTGTAGCTAGTTCTGGGATATCTGCACAAGGAGCGTGACACCAATTTCCACAAAAATGACAATTTATCCATGTGGAAGCCCGTTTGTTTGACTGACCACAGACTACACACAGCTTCATAATGATTTGAATGGTTGATTTACTGCAATTCTACTAGCAACCTCTTGAATATTATATTAATAACCTTAAATGAAGCTCTAGCTATTTGTATTTCTGTTTCTAACTCTTTTTGTATATTGGACAGCTTACCGTCACGTTCCTGATTTTTAATGTTTGTGTTTATAAGGGCGCCTACAAACCCATCCGTTTACAGTCTGCTTTATTGTCCAACGAAACTGTTTGAAACCAGTCCCGGGTTCGGACCAGTCAAGGGTTCGGACCAGTCAAGGGTTCGGACCAGTCGATCTGCTCTGATCAGTGGGTCACTTATTTAAAACATACTGGTCGGTGATTGAGCTAACACATGAAGGATCTACTGGAAATTATCTACCCGAGTAATATGTGATTTGACTGATACAAAAGTATAACTTGCGTGTTGAAGAGCCGGTGATATCTGGCAGCTCCTACAATGACGTACAGTCGACCTCTTTGTTTATCAATCGCTGTATCTGGCTTTTCTATTTTTGTTTTTTCCGTCTCCACCACAATAAATGCTATATTATCACTATAGTTGACTGGTGCAAATTTTGGAGGAAGGACGCTTTTTCTGTAGTAATAATTGTTTCTCGTTGTGTATATTGCGACCGCTGGTAACTACAGGTTATATGAAATTCACAGTAACAACAAGGATATGCATAAAAACGGTAATTTTTATGCAGCGACTAAGTTCAGATTAGGGTATTTTGGAGAGAGGGGCTATTTTCCAGTTAAAGTAGTGCTTAGACTGATATTTGTGATGTCATCGTGATTACTTAACATATAGATGGGATTGTAAAAAAGTGAATGCCAGGGTGTTGGGAAAAGTGTGATTAAGAGATAATGAATGATACAAAATGGGGGTTTCACAGATGCTCTTTGCTAACGACAGTTCTTTCGGGAGATTCTGAAGTTACAAAGGTCCCGTGGATCGGTTGGTAAGGAACTCGACCTAGCTCACGCACCGAGTGTCTGGGGTTCGATTCCCGGTACGAGTGAAAACATTAGGCATGTTTTCTTACACCTGCTGCCCTTGTTCACCTAACAGTATGTAGGTACGTGGGAGCTGGCCGACTGTTGTTGTTAATGGTGTAGTGTGTGTGTGTGTGTGTGTGTGTGTGTGTGTGCCAATACCTTTATATACATCCCTTGGGCAAGCCAGTGTCACATGACTCCTTTTAACTGAGTAGTACGACTAGGGCGCAAGCCTCACAAGTATTGCACTATCTAAAGTTAAGGCTGGGGCTCTGAAATGAGCTGAGGTAAGTAAGTTTATTCAGGTATACACAAATACAGTTACACAGATTATCACACATAGCAGCATATGTGTGGAGAACCTAGGATAACCCAAAAAAGTCAAAGTGACTTATTTCCATTGGGTAACAGCTCTTAGCCTGTAAAATTTGCATGTATAAAAAAATGGTTCGTGTATGTGGCGTGCGCCAGGTATGTTCCATTTATTCGACATTCATCAAACACCCATTGGCATGCATTCCCTCTCAACCAACAAACTGGCAATTCAGAGTATAGCAGTTCTGGGTCCCCATTGCTGTAATAATTGTCCAGTTCAACCAACCGTTAGTATGAGAGCCGGCTCCTTAGTCAAGGTGAGGTTGTACCTGTCGGCCTAGTTGTGAGGCAGACTCTCGCTTACGCTGGTCAAGACCACTCCTGCCATGAGTGGCTCTTTGCTGTCTTATCGTTATATTGCTAATTTAACTTTGTAAATATTATTGTCAGGTTGCTTTTGAATTGTTGACTTTGGTTATGGCCAGATACAACAGGCCTTGAATTGGTACCTGTTTTCGTAATAGTAAATAAATCTGGGAGGAAGTTAAAAGTGTATATCAAATAGAGCAAGGTGATGACAGCAACAAGAAATCTAGAGAATTAAAAATTGGATATCAAATTGGAGGGAAGGAATATGGAGTAAGTAAATATATTAAGATATAAGGGAGAAAATATGTCTGCAGTTGGATCTCTGAAAGACTAGGTAAAAAAATGGAATAGGTGAAAGGACAAAAGCAGGAACTTTGTTGAGACGTCTATCTACGGAGGCGAAATGGTGAAAGTACCGTAGTGGTACCAACACTTTTTTATGGGTGTGAGGCAGGGGCTGTAAATGTTGCACCAAGGAGGAGGCTTGGAACACTACAGAGGTAATGTTTGAGAGCAATGTGTGGTGTGATATTCACACCAGAGAATTAGGAGAGTTGGAACTCAGAAGATAGTGCAGGGTTTTCAAAGGTATAATTCGGAGGGCTCATGAAGGTTTGGCGATGAAATTTTAGCAATAAGAGAGGATGTAGCACAAGAGGATAACCAAGAGGGTGTATAAATCCAGGGTAGAAGGAAGGGGAAGAGGTCGTCCCAAGAAGGGTTGTGAGGGGGTAAAGGATGCTGTGAGTGCCAAGGGCTAGCTAGACCTCAGCAGGACGTGTAGTCAAGTTAAATCGGAGTGGAAATAAGTGTTTATGATTTGGCGTTCTAGTAATGTGCGAGAAAAATAACACTTAGGAAGGGATTTGAGGAAAACAATTAGCAGAACTCGAGTCCTGGAGGTAAAATTAGTGTCTACATTATGGAGAAATGAAAATGTTTCAGTTCGGAGGGTCATTAGAAAGGCGATGTCCACGAACTTATGGCAGGACAGCTATTGAATAATACTGGATTATGTGTCTACTTTTCTGGGTCACTATTCCTTGGTAGGAGACGGCCGTGTTAAAACAAAAACTTAAAACATTAATTTTGATAATCTGTTTTTAACACGTCCAAATTTTTGCATTAATCATTACTCTCAAAAAAATCACTAAGGAGGCAAGAACTTACCTGGACTAGAAAAAATGTTTCTAAATAAGTTGGTCAGTAGGCTATTTATAAATGATGGCAAACTGTATCCAGCCATGTGAGCCATCCTCCTCAGCACAGGATACCACTACAATCACTACCTGCAGACAAGTTATTCCTAGTCATAATATACCCGTTTCGAGCAAGACATTATATAAATTTCTGAACAATCATAAGGCAGCGATAAAGTGCATGAAGTCTTAAAAAAACTCACTAAAATTTTAAATGGTACGACTCTTTGAATTACACACACACACACACACACATTATATATTAATGAAATCACGAAACAAATTATTTTGAATCTATATATATATATTTATATATATAATATATAATATATTATATATATAATATATATAATATATATATATATATAATATATATAATATATAATAATATATAAAATATAATATATATATATAATATATATATATATAATATATATAATACATATATATATATATATATATATAATATATATTATATATATATATAATATAGTTTTATATATATAATATAGTTTTTTACAAAGTAGAAGTGATGCAAGGAGGGAAGAGTATATGGAGAAAAAGAGAGAGGTTAAGAGAGTGGTGAAGCAATGTAAAAAGAGAGCAAATGAGAGAGTGGGTGAGATGTTATCAGCAAATTTTGTTGAAAATAAGAAAAAGTTTTGGAGTGAGATTAACAAGTTAAGAAAGCCTAGAGAACAAATGGATTTGTCAGTTAAAAATAGGAAGGCAGTTTTTAAAGGGAAAGTTAGAGGATTGGAAGAGGGAGGAATATTTTGAGGAATTGTTTAAATGTTATGAAGAAGGGAAGCTGGATTTCGTGTATGGACAAGGAGGAAAACTCTTTTAGGAGTGAGGAAAGCCAGTTGTGAGTGGGGGGAATTCGTGGGGCGAGGTAAAATGAAAGGGGGTAAGGCACCCGGGATTGGGGGATAAAGATAGAAATGTTAAAACGGGAGGGGATAATTTTTGGAGGGGTTTTTGGGTGCAATTATTTTAATAAAGTAGGGAAAAGGGGGGAAGGTCCCAGGGATTGGGCAGAGGCAGCAAGTTCCTTTGTATAAAGGCAAAGGGGTAAAAAGAGTGCAAAAAAAAGGGGGGAAAGTCTGCGGGTATACCGGTAAAGGTTGGTGTTATTATTGAAAGAATTAAAGTAACGGAAATGGGATAGCAATGAACAAGGAGGCTTTGGGAAAGGGTTTAGGGGGTGGTGGACCATGTTTACAGGAACATAAAAAGAACAGTATTAGATAAGGCTAAGAGGCTTTGTGGCATTTTGGGATTTGGAAAAGGGGCGATGACAGGGGGATAGGGGGCAATGTGGCAGTTTTTTGAAAGTGATGGGGTAGGAGGTGGGTTACGAAAGCAGTGAAGAGTTTTTACGAGGATAGGAGGCTCAAGTTAGAGTATGTGGGAAAAGAAAAAATTTTTTCCCCAGAAATAGGCCTTAGAAAGGATGTGGATGTCACCGGGTTTTTTAAATTTTTTTTTTTAAAATTTGGGTTGTAAGAGAAGTAAATGCGAGGGTTTTGGCAAGAGGCTGGATTTTAAAAGATAAAAAATCACACAAAAAGTGGGAGTTGTCACGCGCTCTTTGCTGATGCCCACTGTGCTCTTGGGGATTCTGAAAAAAGGGTTGCAGAGTTTGGTGGTAATTTGGTAGGTGGCAAAAGAAGAAAATTAAAGGGTGAATACAGGGAAAAGGGGAAGGGTTAAGAGGATAACAAAAAGATTAGGTGATGAAAAATTGAATATTTAGATTGGAGGGAGAGGTATGGAGGGGTGAATGTATTTAGATTTTTTGGGGGTGGAGTGTCGCGGGTGCGTTATAAAGAGAGGTGAAAACATAGAATTGATGAGGGGAAAAAGAGTGATGGTGACTTAGGAGTCTGTGGAGACAAAAAACTTTGTCCTTTGGGGGGCAAAGAGGGGGGAAGTAGGAGTATAGTTTTTCCAACCTTTATTGGGGTGTGAACATGGGGTAATTTGCAGGGGGAAAGAAGGCTGGAGGCTGGAGATGTCTTTTCTGACAAAGTGTGGTGTGAATTAATGCGAGAGTTCGTATTTGGAAGTTAAAGGAGTGCGGGATTACCCAAAAATTTGTCCAGAGGGCGAGGAAGGGTTGTTGAGGTGGGTTCGGACATGTAGAGAGAATGGAGCGAAACAGAATGACTTCAAGAGTGTACGTCTTTGTGGAAAGGGAAGGCGGGGTAGGGTCGGCCTGGGAAAAGGGTTTGGAGGGAGGGGGTAAAGGAGGTTTTGTGTGCGAGGGGCTTGGACTTCCAGCAGGCATGCGTGAGCGTGTTTGATAGGAGTGAAGGGAGAAAAATGGTTTTTAATACTTAAACGTGCTGTTGGAGTGTGAGCAAAGTAACATTTATGAAGGGGTTCAGGGAAACCGGCAGGCCGGACTTGAGTCCTGGAGATGGGAAGTACAGTGGCTGCACTCTGAAGGAGGGGTGTTAATGTTGCAGTTTAAAAACTGTAGGGGTAAAGCACCCTTCTGGCAAGACAGTGATGGAGTGAATGATGGTGAAAGTTTTTCTTTTTTGGGCCACCCTGCCTTGGTGGGAATCGGCCATGTGATAATAATAAAAAAATAATAATATATATATATAAATAATATATAATATATATATATATATATATATAAAATATATATATAAATATATAAAAATATATATATATATATAATTTATTTTATATATATATATATATATATATATATATATATATATATATATATATATATATATATATTTTATATATATATATATATATATATATTAAATTCTACCAAATCTGTGTACATCCCAGTACTCAGGTTTGGGGAGGAATTAAGTCCCCACCAACGGACATTATCCTACTCATTCACGGTGTCAGAATCATTTATTTTTTCGTCTAGTTATTCATCGGGTTTGGCCAATAAATATAGACCAACCAATAGGCACTGCCGGATTTAGGCATAAACTAAGCTACACCTTAGGCCTCACAGTGATACGTAAATATTTTAAAAAGATTTTCTTAATTGAACTTTTCGTTCAAAAGAGGTTAAGTATACAGACAGGTGAGGACAAATATAAGCAGAGTTATATGTATATGTAATATAATACTTCAAGTCCCCACTAATATAATACAGAAAATATTTGAAGCTAGAGTAAAAGATTTCGTAGTTTCCTGGAAATGTGTATAGATTACTGTAGTCTTTAAGGATCTTTTATGATTTTAGTCGGCGTCTGGCCATTTAAAAACTTTAGTTTTAATAGATTAAATGCAAATAACGCAAACCTTTATGTTAAATAGTTAGGTAGAGTAATTTACGTGGCCGTTTACGAAGTCTATACTAATTCTTGAGGTATGCTGAACCTAAAAGATTATATATCAAACGCTAATATTTTCAGCCTAGTAAATTTACAAAAAGCTAAAAAGCATAGTGACAACTGAAATAAAATTTTACTCACTGTGCTTTTTAGCTTTTTGTAAATTTACTAGGCTGAAAATATTAGCGTTTGATATATAATCTTTTAGGTTCAGCATACCTCAAGAATTAGTATAGACAACTGAAATAAAATTTTACTCACTGTAATACCTTCAGAGAAGGTAATAGCTTACAATATCGCACAGGGGCTCTTACATTTGGCATGGCTTTGGGCTACAGTGTCAAAATCCAGCCCTGTCAAGTAATGTATCTTGCATTGTATTTACATTTAAGGTTATTTTAATCCCTATCTTAGGGATTAAAGTATACTTAGTGAGTTTTACGGTGAATTACAGCCTTAATTACCCTCATGTAGTCTATAGTCTCTTATATAGGCCTGGAGGCACTACAACCCGAGTGAGAAATGAAAATAAGGCTCTTCATTTGGCTGGATATTATACTCACTGGAAGCGCTAAACCCGAAGTGGTCATACAGCACCTGGGAAACTTAATCAGGTTAGATCCGAAGGACAGGATAGCTTCAATTCCTCAGATCAAGAGCCCTTTACAAACCTCTAAGGAACACTCCTCCCCATGAAGGGTCGGATCCTCGGAATCAAACTCTAGGAATCCAGACTGCAAAACTAAAAGCCAATCATTCACTCTACCCACAAAAGAAAGTGATGAACAAATCTTAATATGGAGCTTTCTCGAATTTTCTAACCTCTGTAAACACACCAATCTGCGTTGTTACACGCAATTATTTTTTAATAAGGGAGAAGCGTTAAACTCATAGGGGTCATATAACGCCTGGAAATGGGAGGTATCCAGGTTCAGTCCAAGAAAGCGGAGGAATTAAGTCGTTCCTTGGATCAAGGACCCTCCCTTGAAAGGCTTGTTAGTGCTAAATATGGTTTTTCAGAAAAAGGGCGAGTATATAATCAACCAAGTGTTGCCTTAATTGAAATGCAATTATACTCACGGGGAAGCGCTGAACCTATTAGCGGAAATCGCGAAATCCGTAGGGCCATACAGCGCTTCAGAAAACGGAAGGCAATCCCTTTCAGGAAGTCCTTCATTAGTACCAAGGAACACAACCCCGTCCCTTCTCCTTGAAGGATTAAACTTGTGAGGAGCTCTAAACCCGTAGGGGTCATACAGCTCCTGTAGGAATGGGAAGAATTTCGGTTGAGATGGAAGTGAGCCCTGGTCCAATTTCCTACATCGAGACAAACACCCCCTCACCGCCATCTTGAAATTTAAATTGTTAATGGGGAGCGCTAAATCCGTACGAGTCACACAGAAGTTGGGTAGAGGCATTCCAGTTCGAATCCGTGGAAGGTGAGGACAATACAAGTTCCTTGCATCAAAGAGCCCCTCAATGGCATCAATGAACGTTCCTTGGTGGAGTCAAGCTAGCAGTCGTACGTCGCAAGGCGCCATTATAACCTAATTTCAAATTTTTGTTTAAAGAACTCTGCCCCTGTTGTTTATGCTAGCGTGGTCAACTAAGAGTACCTTAGAACATACCTACACTTGGTGAGTCAGGCAACAAGAGTCACGAGCAACAGGTTAAGCTGAGCGTCTCCCCTCCATCACACCTTCAGTACCTCTGACGCCATCCACCACCACAACCACTCGAAACTATACCTGCTCATCAACTATTATTATTATTGCTATTATTATTATTATTATTATTATTATTATTATTATTATTATTATTATTATTATTATTGTTGTTGTTGTTGCTGTTATTATTGCTATTATTATTATTTTTGTTGTTGTTACTGTTACTATTACTATTTTTATTATTATTATTATTATTATTATTATTATTGCTATTATTATTGTTGTTGCTATTACTATTATTATTATTCTTAGTTATTGTTATTGTTAGATACTATTATTATTATTATTATTATTATTATTATTATTATTATTATTATTATTATTATTGCTGTTAATATTCTTATTATATTATTATCATTATTATTATTATAATTATTATTATTATTATTATCATTATTATTATTATTCAATATAGTTTTCCTAACCCTCGCTTTGGTATACCAAAAAAATTACAAATACTTTTAAAATAAAAGCGATTTATAAGAAGAAATTGCTTTAGATAATTGTATATCTCATTGAACGAATTTAATCTTATTTAGACTTTTAATATACTTGTACCAAATATCCTAGCCAAATATTTCCTGCCTTAGCAAAATTATTATTATTATTATTATTATTATTATTAATTATTATTATTATTATTATTATCAGAAAGAAGGCAATTATCATTCCTAGCCCTAATTGGACTTAGTAATTAATTTATATAATTACACAAATCCATTAATATTATAAATGTGCAAGAAATACAATTCTAGCCCCACTGGGCATGCAAATCCAATTAATTGTGGTAACTATAATCCATTAAACAAATACCATTAATTATTTAAATTATGTGAACCCAGCAACCCATTACTTTCAGTCAAATCATTAAAATATATATATATATATATATATATATAAATATATATATATATATATATATATAATATATATATATATATATATAATATATATATATATATAATATATATATAATAATATATATATAATATATATTATATATATATATAATATATAATATATATTTTTTTTTTTTCAACAAGTCGGTCGTCTCCCACCGAGGCAGGGTGACCCAAAAAAAAAGAAAGAAAATCCCCAAAAAGAAAATACTTTCATCATCATTCAACACTTTCACCACACTCACACATTATCACTGCTTTTGCAGAGGTGCTCAGAATACAACAGTTTAGAAGCATATACGTATAGAGATACACAACATATCCCTCCAAACTGCCAATATCCCAAACCCCTCCTTTAAAGTGCAGGCATTGTACTTCCCATTTCCAGGACTCAAGTCCGACTATATGAAAATAAACCGGTTTCCCTGAATCCCTTCACTAAATATTACCCTGCTCACACTCCAACAGATCGTCAGGTCCCAAGTATCATTCGTCTCCATTCACTCCTATCTAACACGCTCATGCACGCTTGCTGGAAGTCCAAGCCCCTCACCCACAAAACCTCCTTTACACCCCTCTCTTTCCAACCCTTTCGAGGACGACCCCTACCCCTCTTTCCTTCCCCTATAGATTTATATGCTTTCCATGTCATTCTACTTTGATCCATTCTCTCTAAATGACCAAACCACCTCAACAACCCCTCTTCTGCCCTCTGACTAATGCTTTTATTAACTCCCAACCTTCTCCTAATTTCCACACTCCGAATTTTCTGCATAATATTTACACCACACATTGCCCTTAGACAGGACATCTCCACTGCCTCCAACCGTCTCCTCGCTGCTGCATTTACCACCCAAGCTTCACATCCATATAAGAGTGTTGGTACTACTATACTTTCATACATTCCCTTCTTTGCCTCCATAGATAACGTTTTTTGACTCCACATATACCTCAACGCACCACTCACCTTTTTTCCCTCATCAATTCTATGATTAACCTCATCCTTCATAAATCCATCCGCCGACACGTCAACTCCCAAGTATCTGAAAACATTCACTTCTTCCATACTCCTCCTCCCCAATTTGATATCCAATTTTTCTTTATCTAAATCATTTGATACCCTCATCACCTTACTCTTTTCTATGTTCACTTTCAACTTTCTACCTTTACACACATTCTCAAACTCATCCACTAACCTTTGCAATTTTTCTTTAGAATCTCCCATAAGCACAGTATCATCATCAAAAAGTAACTGTGTCAATTCCCATTTTGAATTTGATTCCCCATAATTTAATCCCACCCCTCTCCCGAACACCCTAGCATTTACATCTTTTACAACCCCATCTATAAATATATTAAACAACCATGGTGACATTACACATCCCTGTCTAAGACCTACTTTTAACCGGGAAGTATTCTCCCTCTCTTCTACACACCCTAACCGAGCCTCACTATCCTCATAAAAGCTCTTTACAGCATTTAGTAAACTTACCACCTATTCCATATACTTGCAACATCTGCCCACTTGCTCCCCTATCCACTCTATCATATGCCTTTTCTAAATCCATAAATGCAATAAAAAATTTCCCTACCTTTATCTAAATACTGTTCACATATATGCTTCAATGTAAACACTTGATCTACACATCCCCTACCCACTCTGAAACCTCCTTGTTCGTCCGCAATTCTACATTCTGTCTTACCTCTAATTCTTTCAATTATAACCCTACCGTATACTTTTCCTGGTATACTCAGTAAACTTATTCCTCTATAATTTTTACAGTCTCTTTTGTCCCCTTTCCCTTTATATAAAGGGACTATACATGCTCTCCGCCAATCCCTAGGTACCTTCCCCTCTTTCATACATTTATTAAACAAAAGTACCAACCACTCCAACACTATATCCCCCCCTGCTTTTAACATTTCTGTGATGATCCCATCAGTTCCAGCTGCTTTACCCCCTTTCATTCTACGTAATGCCTCACGTACCTCCACCACACTTACAGTCTGCTCTTCTTCACTCCTAAAAGATGGTATACCTCCCTGGCCATTGCATGCAATTACCGCCTCCCTTTCTTCCTTAACATTTAAAAGTTCCTCAAAATATTCTCGCCATCTACCTAATACCTCCCTCTCCCCATCTACTAACTCCCCTACTCTGTTTTTAACGGACAAATCCATACTTTCCCTAGGCTTTCTTAACTTGTTTAACTCCACTCCAAAATTTTTTCTTATTTTTCATTAAAATTTCTTGACAGTGCCTCTCCCACTCTTTCATCTGCTCTCCTTTTTGCACTCTCTCACCACTCTCTTCACCTTTCTTTTACTCTCCATATACTCTGCTCTTCTTATAACACTTCTGTTTTGTAAAAACCTCTCGTAAGCTACCTTTTTCTCTTTATCACACCCTTTACTTCATCATTCCACCAATCACTCCTCTTTCCTCCTGCCCCCACCCTCCTATAACCACAAACTTCTGCCTCACATTCTAATACTGCATTTTTTAAAACTAATTCCAACCCTCTTCAACCCCCCCACTACTCATCTTTGCACTAGCCCACCTTTCTGCCAATAGTCGCTTATATCTCGCCCCGAACTTCCTCCTCCCTTAGTTTTATACACTTTTCACTTTACTCCCTCTTACTTGTTGTTGCCACCTTCCTCTTTTCCCATCTACCTCTTACTCTAACTGTAGCTACAACTAAATAATGATCCGATATATCAGTTGCCCCTCATAAAACATGTACATCCTGGAGCCTACCCATCAACCTTTTATCCACCAATACATAATCTAACAAACTACTTTCATTACGTGCTACATCATACCTTGTATATTTATTTATCCTCTTTTTCATAAAATATGTATTACTTATTACCAAATTTCTTTCTACACATAGCTCAATTAAAGGCTCCCCATTTACATTTACCCCTGGCACCCCAAAATTACCTCTACTACTCCCTCCATAACATTTTTAACCCACTTTAGCATTGAAATCCCCAACCACCATTACTCTCACACTTGATTCAAAACTCCCCACGCATTCACTCAACATTTCCCAGAATCTCTCTCTCTCCTCTACACTTCTCTCTTCTCCAGGTGCATACACGCTTACTATAACCCACTTTTCACATCCAATCTTATTTTACTCCACATAATCCTTGAATTTATACATTTGTAGTCCCTCTTTTCCTGCCATAGCTTATCCTTCAACATTATTGCTACTCCTTCTTTAGCTCTAACTCTATTTGAAACCCCTGACCTAATCCCATTTATTCCTCTCCATTGAAACTCTCCCACCCCCTTCAGCTTTGTTTCACTTAAAGCCAGGACAATCCAGTTCTCTCTCATTCATAACATCCACAATCATCTCTTTCTTATCATTTGCACAACATCCACGCACATTCAGACTTCCCACTTTGACAATTTTCTTCTTCTTATTCTTTTTAGTAATCTTTACAGGAAAAGGGGTTACTAGCCCATTGTTCCCGGCATTTTAGTTGACTTTTACAACACGCATGGCTTACGGAGGAAAGAATTCTTATTCCACTTCCCCATGGATATAAAAGGAAAAGTAATAAGACCAAGAACTATTAAGATAAAATCAAAGAAAACTCAGATGAGTGTGTATAAATAAACGTGTACATGTATGTGTAGTGTGACCTAAGTGTAAGTAGAAGTAGCAAGACGTACCTGTAATCTGCATATTTATGAGACAGACAAAAGACACCAGCAAACCTACCATCATGTAAAACAATTACAGGCTTTCGTTTTACACTCACTTGCAGGACGGTAGTACCTCCCTGGGTGGTTGCTGTCTACCAACCTACTACAGATATAATATATATATATATATATATATATATATATATATAATATATATATATATATATATATATATATATATATATATATATATATATATTATACAGCGAGAGATATACACACTGAGAAGTGTGTATCTCTCGCTGTATAATATATAAACCGAGAGGTATGTATTTTGTATATACATAAATTACATATATTTAAGAAGAAGAGCACAATACGTATGTGTCATAGTCTGTAGAACAGGAAACAATCAGGTTCGTCCTAAATTAAGGAAGGTCTAGTCTTAATCTTTGAAT